CTAATTCCATTTTCAACTTCTTATCTGTGCGAAGCTGGGTTTTCGGCGGTCGCTGTAATAAAAAACAAGTATAGAGCAAAAATCAACGTGGAAAAGGAAATGAGGGTGGCCGTTTCCAGTTTAATTTCACGATTTGAGAAGATGTGCAGTGATTTGCAGGCTCATCGATTACATTAAATAGTAAATATAAATTTAATGTTAATAAAGTAAAAAATAAGAGATTTACGAGTTTTATTTACGAGTAGTCATATCTAGGGTAGGGCACTATGGAAAAAATTCAAATTGAAAAATGGCGCCGCGACTATGAAAAGTTTGGGAACCACTAACTTATAAGATACTAAACATAGTTCTTTGATGCACTAATGCTTGAAAGGGAATTTTAATTCAGTAACCTATATTTTTTATATTAAATCTTTCTTAACCACAAGGACAAAAGTAATGGCCTGAGTGTACTTTACTATTATCACTATCCCCTGAAAATATTTTATTTTAGCTATTAAATCTTTGTCTTTTTGAGAAGAGATTTACTAACTAGAGATATCATTTGGAAAAAGGAATTTAATCTTGAATTCTAGTCAATAAATGACCCAAATCCCTCCTATTAGTGTTTTCCATCTATTATTCTTATGATTATAACCGCGACCAAATGAAACGAAGTCCTAACTCAACAGCCAAAATATCGAACTATCCATGTTGAAAAATTCAATTTAGTTTGCTTACATCTGCATGCCAGATTATATTTGATCCCTGGTCAAGCATTGTCATAAGTCGCACAAACGTTGCTCAGTAAAGAGAGTTGTTAATTATAAAAAGCGCGCCCTATATATTTTACTTTCATCGTAGGTTTTTGAATTCTGTAAGTGATAATAGGGTTATAAATGGATTATCGTGGTTTAAAGGAGCTATTAATATTTATTTAGTTTAGAAAATCAGGAATATTCCAGCACCAATAAAAAAATTGTGCATAATTGAGATTATAATACTCCCAATAACCTAATAGTAACGAGCTTTGGGCAAAAATATAGCTGCATCTCGCAAATATGTGCTCTAGAAAAGGTTTGCTTTTACTTGGAATTTATTCTATAAGTTTTGCCCAGAGGAGATATCAGCGATTTATATGACATATGAAGGTCATAATAATGTGGCAACTAGCTCTTGAATGACTTTTTACTAAAATCTTTACCACGAATAAAAATAATATTTATTCGTTAAAAAATAAAATCAACCTTACTAAATTAGGCATAGATATAGAGGCCAAGATGTTGTTGCTCTTATTCTGGCTACAGTCTTCCTTAGCTATCCGACCTTGTCTTTTAACTTGGTTATGTTGTTACGGAGACCTAATTGGAAGCACCTTGTCTAAGGTCATTTGCTATAGTAGTTATAAGTGCTCTCAACGTTGGACCGTGTAATTGCTACATTCAAATACGTTTCGCCGGAGTCGTAGTCGGCATCTTCAGGGAGTCTTGCCAATATTAGTATCAATCTATAACTCGTCAGAGACAAATTAAGTCGATTCTTCTTCCAATTGTTGTGGTTACTCTCCTTCTGTTCCGGTGCATTCACCTATCCTATATCCTCAATCTTGCAGATGAGGGCTGGTTAAATAATTGAGTTCACTTGCTTATTTGACCAGTTGTAACTTAGTGCTGAGAATGGCAAGATCCATAAAAGATGTCAACTACGATGCAAGTGAAACTTTTGAGGTTGTACCAAGCCCATGGTCCAAGGCTAGAAATAATTATAACTATTATAAGAGAGAACATCGGGCAAGGTGAGCCCAACTTAGTTCTGTTTACAAAACGATCAAGTTGCGAAAACGGGATCAGATCACTTTATAACAAATTATTTATAAATACTTGAGATTAAAGACTGACTTTCTTATATAGGGCTGCATAAGAATTGTTATTATCTCGAACGCTCAATTTTCCGAACCGTAAATACTTTAAATTCTCGAAACTTTTTAACGGTCACTTAATATGACTTGGGTAAGAAATTAGCAGAAGAACACTAATAACAGATAAAATTATAATTCAAGTTAATTTTAAAAATCTCTTTGTAGCTAATCCAACTCTAAGTTTCTCTCCCGTATTTTGTTTTGCTAGTTAACTGAGGAGATTCAGCAAAGCAAAATTCAATTAACGATTACTACTCCAAAAAGATCCATATTTCTACATTGATTATATTTAAACAAGTATTTTTATGTATTTTTAAAGTTGTATGCCCTAAGCGCTAGAAATATGGAATATTGTTTAGGCATAAAATTGTAAATTTCCCGTAGTGTTTGTTATTTCTTAATTATGAGCAGGAGATCAAATTGTACTCCAACCCTTTAACCTTGATAAAATGAAGTTGCTAATAGCATTGGATTGAAAAAATAACCACAACAATATTCATTTTTCAATTTATCAAAAAATAATTTAATATAATTCATTGTCACGCCTTTTTCGCTTAGTCTTGAGTAACAAATCATATATATATATATATATAACCCTGAACAAGTACTAAAAGACATTTCTTATCCTGATTTTCTGGCAATTCTAGCAGAACGAGATTTTAGCACGCCATACTCAATGCAAAATAGAAATTTACGATATTGATCTGTTGACTTAGATGCTACTTGGATTCCTTGTTGTATCTTAAGATTTGAATGCTCCAGAGAAATTCAAAAAAAAATTGAATATATACATATATTGCTTTGTGATAAACTTTAAATTATTTATCACATTAATTCCAGGAGTTTCTTCTAGTAGCTGAGGTGCATGAATATTTGGAGCTTAGCATAATTTTTCAACGTAGTGTGCCTGAACTTTTGATACGGTTTGCTTTATTCTTTGGGTAATTTTACAACAATAGTCTATGGTTGGTAAATAGTAAAGTGGAAAATCTAATCCATGTTTCGGACTAGACATCTGTCGTGTGCTTGCTCTTAGTTTTAATTGCTCTAGTCTTCTTTTCTCTTTCCAGGAAAGGGGTATTCGTGGCTGTCGGTTCTGAAGATTTAATGGTTCCTGCTGCTTGGTTTGGCCAGTTAACATAACGGCGGTTAGGCTGAGAGAGATGCCTTGGTCTGTTCCCAGCGATATTTATCTCTGAATTGAGTTGAGAAGTCGTAACATAGGCTATTCTATCTTTATTTTTTGTTCTGGGCCAGCCCCATCCTGCTGTTTTATCAGATTCAGGTTCTACAGTTACAAGTCTATCTTTTGATTCCATGTTTGCTCCATATATCATCACTCCTTGATGACGTCCACTATCGTCTTTTAGTATATCTTCCTCGTTTCTAATAGAGTATTCTGTTTTCCTCCGTCTCCGTCTTTTAGTCTTGTTTCCAAAATTTGTCAGCGGGTAGTTTTTGTGTTTATTTCTATCAGCCTTAGAGACTAGTTGTTTTCCAAGTTCCGATTTTCCGGGAGTGTAACGAGTCTCAAAAAGCTGCCCTACTGAAGGCGCCAAAAATACTGCAGATTGCGAGGATGATTCTCCTTTGCATGTCGATTGTAAAGAGGTCGATGTAAGGCATGAGGACGATGCCGAATAATTGGAGGAGGTTGAAGAGGAGTGGGATGACAAAGTTGTGGCGAGTGGTAGAATGTACTCTTCGGGAGGCGAGTTGTTTGAAGTAGAGCAAGAAAGATTATTCAGGTCAATTGAGCTAGTACTCGAAGTTGTCATAGGACAAATTAAAATTGTTTCTTTTTGCCTGAGTAGCTCTTTATGTTCTCCTATTTCTGGTTTATTGCTTTTTCGCTGGATAACTACCCCGTGCTCAAATGGAGGGATGATTGTTCGCTCAGTTTTTAACATATTTAGACGAGGCCATCTGGTGCGGGAACTTTGTTGAATATAAATATCCTTTTTTGAATCTAAATTTCGCTCATCCTCTTTCTTTTCACATCTTTCTACTTTTCCTAAATTTCTTGCTTTCATTACTGCGTCTGGGGAGTTAAATTGCCTTGTTATGGCAATACCTGATAAACTAGCTGCCCAATGACGGTCTAAAGCTGATAACGAGGGGTTATCTCTGCCATCGGATAATGGGTCAGCTAACTCTGCTTCCAGAGCAGTATGTGGGCTAAAATGGCTAGCCATATCAGTGGCGCATTTATGTTCACTAAAATTTGGAATAGGAGACGACGTTGACTTTGAATGTGGTACTTCTAGACAGACGTGTATATTGCCTTGTTGATCCGCCACTCGACTAGACAGAATAGAATTGTCTACAGTGAAAAAAGAATCCCTCAAGCAAGTGCATGAATTCCGATTTTTAAGATCATTATACCGTAGGGCATCATCATTGTCTAAATAAATATTGTCCTGTAGGCCGCGAGTGATACAGTGGGACGATTCTATGAAGAAGGGTTTATCAGTCCTTGGATTTTTCAACCAAGTAAAGTGATAGTCTTCCGTTTGAGTATTGGCATCGAGGAGTTTTACCTAAAAAAAGGTTAACCCAAGAATTTAAGTTCAATCAAAGTCTTATATAAAATTATAACAAAATCCCTTATGTTCGTAGAATATATGTGAAGTATTTGCTATTTCGTTCGGCTGTATAATATTGTGAATAGACACAGAATCTAAACAGGTTTAAATAGCAATTTGTATTCAATAAAAAATTAAGGACCTTGGGAAGGACCCAAATCAATTTAACCTTTTGTTCCTGGATAAAAATTATTTAGAATTAGTGAACATAATATAGGAAGCACCATGATTAGCTAGATTGAACCATTATGCTTTGATGGAGATTTTGTTTCTCTTGGAAAAAATGTCACAGCTCATTTTTTAGTTTTTACAAACCAGACTAGCCACATTCGAGGATTTTCAAAGGAATGTTTTTGTAAGCCAATTCATCAGAGATTTTAGCTCTGGTTACGAAAAAGTATCGAAAATGAAGCATAAATGTCAAGAATTTGTCTAGGATAAGTTTCATTAAGGGCAAATGACCTTCAATACATTATTTATAAGCTTTGATGGCACTATAAATCTGGGGTCTATGCGATCATAAAATACTACTTATATTACTAAGATTTTATGTTTTAATCCAGGATTGATGATATCAACCGAAACACGTTTACATTGAACATTTGATAATTCTAAAAGTGTCCACCAATAGGGCAGCATTTAGGATCTAAGTAACTCATAAGAAGAAAGCATTCTAAAACGCATCTAGCTCTTAACGGTTGAGGCTTCTTAGTTCGAGGGGATCATTAACATAGCAGATATGTAAAATGATTTTATGCCTATCCTTTCTTCTTCTAAATATGTTATCAAAGGCATTTGCCATCTTCAAGTATTAAGCTGGTGGTAAGTAAAAATAGTCCAGGCGCCATAATTTAGCCGTACCCTCTGGAAAAGCGGCAGCCTAATCACACTAGTCTTCTCTAAAGACAATTGTCAATTAAGTAATCCGGCCAAACATTGAAGCCAAAGAGACCATCCACTTAGCTTGCTTGCCTGAATTATGCAATTTAAGAAATGTAAAATCTGTAATTCGGAAGGCATTTGCCTCTATCATATTTTGGTTTTTGGCCCAAAAATTTCTGGCAATAACTAGTGAAACGTGTTATCTCGTTCTCTCACTAATATTCAAATAGAACCATATAAGTATTTTTGGATAATTTTAGCTAACCCTGTATGACTTCTGATCCTACTATGAATAAATGCAATTAAATGATGAAATCTTTGATAAATAAAAAATAGTGGAAAATAGAGGGGAGCATTTTAAGAACGCTGCCCTCATTAAATCCAACAAGGCTGCTATATTTAATCTTTTTCCTCTAAGTCATAATCTTATTAAGACTAAGTTACAGTTACCCAGCCATTTAAATTATTGCCTTTACATACTATTGCATTCTAATTATTCTTAT